AAGGTGAATGCGCATCGTATATTCTTTTTTAAAATTAAATTAATAAATTTTATGTCGTCGCCTCGCACCTCGCATGATCGTAATTTATTTCTGTGTGTGTTTTATTTGTTCTCTTGATTTGTGTAAACGCATCGTTCTAAATATAGCCGCTTCTTGTGCTAATGCTTTTTAACACCACATCCTGTTGGTATTGTAATTCATTATTTAATAAAAGTTATTCTCTTTAATAATCCATAAATTATTTACACTAATGAGAAACATATGATCGTAAATTAAATGCATTTCTGCAAACAAAACAATTTTTGATATATGTTGTATTTAATTATATTTTTATGGTTATATGTAAAGTAAATTAAATTAAATTAAAGTAAATTAAAAAAGCAAATATTTTATTGAAAAAGTGATAAATCATATCTTTAAACATAAATTAAATCTCAAAAAGTTTGTATTAAACAAAGAACTTTTAGTGGAATTATTTTTATTGATTTTTTTGTAATTTACTAATAAGATAATCTAATTTTAAGTAAATTTGTTAGTTACACCATGTATAACTCAAGAACCGCTGCACAGATTTCGATGATCAATGATTTATTTGATTTATTACCATCCCTAATAGCAGAATAACTCATAAAATGTTAAAAATTATTTCCTACAGGGTGTTAAATAAAAAATGAAAAATATTTTTTCCGTTTAAAAATATTTTTATACCAAAATTTAACGAAATTAACTCCGTAATTCTCATTTATAATATTTTTTAATATTATCTTTCAATCTATAACATTTACAACAAACATAATGTTGATTGAGTGAATGTATTTAATTTCTGGTATAATAATAAACTTTTGATTTCGATTTAGAACGGAATTTAGCATTCTCTTTGTCTCTTTGTGCCGTGGGTCTTTCCAAACATTTACACGGCGACATTACACACATCCTACTTCAATCTGTGTAGTGTCTGTGTGTCCTGTCGCGAAACTCTAATTTGAATGTCGATTAGCGCTGCGATTGCATCTCGGGTGACTTTCGTTGATTTACCCAACAAACAAGTGCCTTGTGCCTGGTGCTTGTTGGTTACTCAATAAACCACTAACACACTTACTCGTATCTACACTACACTATGTATGGTGTGGATAGCTGTGAATATAATAATGTGAGACTCCGTCTGGCGTAGAAGTGCAGAAAAAACAACACTTTCACTCTTATCGGAAATAAAAGTGCAAATTGTTGAAGCGCGTGCTAAAAGTCAAATCACGAGTCACGACAAATAAAACTGGATTTTTACTGCTTTCATAGTTTTCGATAATTAATTAAGTGATTAAATATAAACGCAAAAGAAAGAAGTTAAAATTAATTCCTGGATTATGTTGTCACTGCACATATAATATTGATGCAATAAAATATTATTTTGTTTATTTTCTAGGAAATTCAATTTTTTTAATGAGAAAAAAGCAAAACTTGACATTTTTACTACAAATTTACCTAAATTTTAAAAATATTAACATAGTTATTGGCAAAAATTATATTTTCCTAAATAAATATTTTACGTTGCTATGGCAACCAAAAATTACTAATATCTGTATTTCTTTTGTATTAATCAATTTTAATCAATTTAAATTTTAAAAAAGTCAAAAATTAACATTTTCAGCATGAATTTACCAAAATTTTGCAAATATTGACTTAATTATATCAAAAAATAGTGTTTTTATTAAATTTACTCATATTCTACATTCCTATAGCAACAAAAAAATTAGTAATCCTGGTATTTCTGCTGTAAACCTACTTTATGTAAGCATAAATAACCTTTAAACCACTTTTCGTAAACTTTAAACCAGATCCAATTTACTAATTTGAAAAACGAAAGCAACCAAATCCAAAATGTCTCTCTAACAACCGAAAAAGGCACTGCACCAACACCAAATAAGCTTAAACTTATTCCTACGTGTTTATATTCTCGTACGCCATCGGAAACAACCCATTTCTTTCACCAACATTTCTTTCTTTCTTTTTGTTTAACTTTTACATTCATTTTATTTATATTTATTTCCATGTTCATGCACAATTGTTAATAACTCATTCCGCATTAAAATAGCAAATTTTACTTCAAAATTTTAAGATGAAGTGAACGTACATTGCATGTAATTACTAATTAACATTGCACATGTTCATGCGGATACCATTCAACAGACGTTATTTAAATTTTAAACTAATTTTAAAACGTATGCAAGAAAATGTATCTAGATGTGTATGGACAATGTATTTGTGTGTTTTTGTATGTGTATGTGTGTGTGTGGATAGTAACATTGTAGAAAGTTGAATATTGCCCTAGAGTGATAATAATATTATTGCGATTAGAATACGGCGTCGAATCGAGTGTAAGTAGTATGTTAAAGTAGTGTAAGTGGTGTAAGTAGCCTTGGGACAGTTGCACATTGCCCAGCCCAACATATGAGTACAGCTTCCAAGTTGATTTACAGATTACATATTTAAGTTAATAATATATACCAAGTGAATCAGAATAAAATTAATAAAAAATATTAAAAAATTATACATATTACGATAAAATTATTTATTTTTGTTTCTAATAAACGTCAATTCGGCAAAAAAAACAAATTTGAATGAAAATTTTTAGATTTTTATAAAAACAATTATTTATTGGGTATTTTAATCACAATAGAACATATTTTGAGCCAAATTTTGAGTATCAACAGCGTTTTATATTAACTGCTTGTTGATTTTTGGCTATTTTAATCTTTTTAAATTTATTCGTTAGTTACAACATTTATAACTCAAGAATGGCTGAGCAGATTTTGATAATCTAAGATGTGTTAGATTTATCTCAATTTTGAATAGCAGAATAATTCATAAAATATCAAAAATAATTATTTAAAGAGTGTTAAATAAGGGATGAAAATTTTTAATTTCTTTAATATATAAGAAGTCGCAAAATATGCAATAAATTAATATTTTTATTTTATTTTTTATGAATTAAAGTCAAAATAATGATTACGTCACAAATATTAAAAATAAACTATTTTCTACACCAACAAACAATTCTTGTTTATAAATTGATTAATTAACTTGGCTAAATCAATGCCTCAAGTTAAGTGTTAAGTAATTAAAAAGGAAATTAAGTAATTGTGCAACGCGCAATAAAATCACAACCGTAAAATAAAATAATAAATGACTTCAAATATTAATAAATATTAAACGCATTATAAATTACATAAAATGTTATGTGCGTGCTGCTCCACTCTGGCCTTAATGAAAGTTTGATACCATATTGCACCAAACAACTAATTTATTTAATTTTATTCAATTTTTGTTTTGTATTAGTTTGCGTACGCTACTCATACAACTATGTTGTAATAGGAAGTCTTCAATAACGAATACGAATATTAAATTTAATTGACTTGCTGAAAACCCAACGTCCTGCCTACATATCGACTTCAATTTGCCGCAAATGCCACTATTTCATAACAAACGAAATCATTAGAAACACAAAGTAGCAAAACAAACGCAAACTTTCTTCGATAATGTTGAAAATTTACAAAACATGCAACCAAGAACATCACAATGTAATTATGGTGGCCTATATAAGGAAAACGTGGGTTCAAATCTCTGAATATTATCTCATCGTGTTCATCAGTAATTTAAAAAACAAATTGAAACAAATTTAATATTTAATTTTAACCACAATTCATAAAATGTCGAATCTTGAATAAATTCTATGAGTAAATTTATAAATATTAATAGATAACTGTTAATATTTTTAATCTTGTCTCAAGTTTCGTCTTGTAAATAATTTATTAAACAAGTAACAACAAAAATCCGCGTATAAACCTGCTAGTGTAAGTATAATCTATCGATAATGTTAATGTTAATAAATATTGATAAAGTAACAAAATGTGACACTTTTCGCGCATGTCAGCATGTTAAATAATGATAATTAAATTTAATAAGCAAAAAAGTGTTACAAACGATTTTTGCAAATCATAAAAGCTGCAATTTTAGGTTATGAAAGACATTTTAATAGCTTCAGATTTATAACCTCTAAAATTAACCTCAAAGTTAATTTTTGACAATTGATAATGTCCGCAATTATTTTATTTTATTTAAAACTAGCTGTTACCTTCGTTCCGGCAGTGTTTAATAAAAATGTAATTCGTTTTTACTCTCTTGTTCTAGACATACTCGTAGTAAGAGTCAATTCTATCAATAAGATTAGCAATTTTAATTTAAAGAAATTATGCATATAAAGTTTTGTCAATAATGCACTTCAGCGCGCCATCTCGAATTCAACTATTTAACTATAACTATGATTGAATCTCAATGTCAAATTTTATTCTATAGAAAAGAGCTGTTTTGAGGATTTTCCCGGCAATTATTCGAATTTTTCTCACCTTTTAAACCTTCCCTAGACCTCCACGAATAATTCAAGACCAAGATAAGATAAATCCGTTCAGCCGTTCTCGAGTTTTAGCGAGACTAACGAACAGCAATTCATTTTATATATATAGACTAGCTTATAGATTAAGCTAGATTGATAAATTTTGGGTTATAAAAGTATAAAAATCAAATTTAGCCATTTTAGTAGCTCTAAAATTATCTGTCAAATTTTTAACCTCCAAAATAACCTCAAAAATAATTTTTACAGTTGATAATCTCCGAAATCATGTTTAAAATTATTTAAAACTTAGTCAGAATGACTAATAACAAACAATTTAACTAAAATGTGTCAAACAGAACAAAACCAACAAAATAACAAAAGCCGATTGACTCAAATCGGTGACGTTTGTTCGAAAGTGGCGAAACAATGAAGGAAAGCACTTCTTGTTTGATAACAACAACAAAAAACCACCACACTCACTAAAAACACCGACAGTGTCGTATGTGGAGCGTAAAGTTGACTTTATTCCGTGTTTTGCATACGTTCGTCATAAATATACCGGGTGTTTAATTAAAAATTTAAAAAACATTAAAAATATATATAAAATAATTACCTTGTAAATAGCAGTGAATTAAGTTTGTGTGCGTGTAAAATCCAAGTGTCGTCGACGCGTCACAACCGTCACAATTGACAAATCGTCAATTATATTGTAAAATGGCGTCGCGTCGTGTTCTAATAAACGCACTGTGCGAATTTCTACTCGGTGTACTAGGTTAATCCGAACACAAACGCCGAATGCAAAATGTATTTACAGATTCACTTTCCGATTAGCGTTCATTTTCACTAAATAATTATAAGTTGACGTTGGATGAATTTTTTAAATGTTTATATTGTCATAGAGATGTGGAGAGGTGTTGTGACGTTGAGCACCATGAAGTCATTTTTGCACTTGGTTTAAAACAGGCTGCAAAATTCAAAATTAGTATTTTCAATCAGCAAGTGATATAGAAAAGCGAATTTAGTTTCACTTGATTGGCGCTCGAAACGAGAAACTAACTAATCAACGGACTAACGAAGAATTCGACTTGTCTCGCGCTCGCGAGGCGAAGTGATCACTTCACCGGAGTTACCAACTTGACGAGAAGAAAGTTCGCGCCGCCAACTCGACTTCGTAACCGCTCTGAACTTACTCGGTGCAATGTTCAAGTTCTACAAACTGCTTTAAATTTATTTAAATTTAATTTTAATTCAAAATTTTTAATTTTTTTGATATTTTACTTAAGTTAAGTAAAGTTGACTTAAGTTAAGTAAAGTGTGTGATTAATCCACTTGCTGGTTGTGTGTTGAAAGTGTTGAAAATACTAACGTTGAGTTTGCAGAAGTGTGATTTGAAGTTGTGCGTCGTGCGCCCGCGGTGCTCTTAGCGAAGCGTCGCGAACCGGACTGACGTCGTGTGCGCGTAAAGTCGACGGCGTTACCTGAGCGTTACCTGCGCGACTGAAGAAGTAAGCGCGAGCGCAATGCGCGCGCACCTCTTGCTCAATCGGCGGTTCTTGCGCGCCTCGAAGAGAGGGAAAGTGAGTGAAAGGAAAATCGCGCCCGCCGCGCACGAATATCATTCGCGTTCGCGGGCCGATTACGTAGGTATCAATGTCTTACAATCTCAAACTCAGCACGCACACATGCATACACTTATAGAATAATGCGGACAATAAAAATAGATTTTATTCTTTGCTTAATATGGTATTAATTGATATTACAATTGAAACAAATTTAAGTAAAAGTTTTTCGATAATATTCTATTTTTAGTTTTAATTGAGTGTGTGTTATTTACCTATTTTTATTTTACTTAAAAATTTGTTTTACATGTTACAGTTGTTAAAATAGGCAAAACATGGCTAATTTTATTTATTAATTTAAATTTACAAAGCAAAATATGAAAAATTTAACTTTCATTAAATTTCCCGATTTCCAAAAATTCATGCACTTTGACTCAAAATTTAAGCATTTTCTAAGCTTTTTTATAGCTAGATAATTACTGAAATGGATTAAGCAACTATTTTTCTATAATAACGTTAGATTACCACTAAAATTTGTGTAAAGATATTTTAGATACAAGGTGTTTTCTTAAACACATTTTTTTAAATTTCCAAAAATTTGTCAACTTTGAAACGCTTTTGAAGCTGTTTTTGAGACAATATCCAAGTTAATTTTTACTATATCTATTAAACAACTCTTTTTCTGTCAGATTGTGAAGCTTTTGGTCAATTTTTTCAAAATCTCAAAGGATTATAACAGAATTAAAATCAACTCTAAATAAAAGTCAAAAGCAAACTTTTTTTGATTTTCGGTCAAATAACTATCCGGTTCATGACTAATTTTAATATAATTGTTATTAAAATACATGTAAACTTTAAAAATAAAATTATTTTTATATCTAAACGTATTTTAATTTATTACTCGAATTATATTCAAATTTAAATTTGTCTATTCATAACATTTTGAAAACATGTGAAATTTATTGTACGTTTATGGCATGTACTCAGCCGATCAATAAAAAATTGCATTATTCAAATGATGACTCACGCATTAATTTTGTTATTTTTTTCCTCGTGCGATTCACATATCGCACCTGTTTGCGAAAATAATGACAGCGGCCGCAATTTTGTTGTGAACTTGCGCCAACTCGCATATTGTTATGATAATACTAACCTATGCCACTATTGTTAATACTCAGTCAGTCGGTACACTCATAGCTAATCCCTCTTTAACATTTTCAAGATTTCAATAAATCAATATATTTTTATGCAATATCTCCATGATTCTTATTGAAAAAAATTATAAAGGAGAAAAATGATAAAATGATTCATCAAACGATTTTTTGCCAGCGACTTCGTCCAGGTAGTGTTTAATAAAAATGTAATTTGTTTTTATTCTCTTGTTCTAGACATAGTATGTGTCAATTATATCAATAAGATTCGTAATTTAATTTTAAAGTAATTAATTATATAAAGAATTGATAATAATGCCCTTCAGCGCGCCATCTCGGATTCAACTATTTAACTATAACTACAATAAAATCTCAATGCCAACTTTTATCCTATAGAAAAGGCTGTCTTTGGGGTTTTCCCGGCAATTATTCTAATTTTTCTCGCCGTAAAAACCATCCTTGGACTTAAACGAACATTTTAAAAAAGAATTTGCCAAATTAGTCTAAGCATTGATGAGTTATGCGCTTACCAACAGATCTTGCGATTCATTTTTATATTATGATTCATCCATTCATTTCTATAATAATATAAGTCATATGATATCATAATTAATTATTTTATAGATCTGTTGATCGTCCCATTCTTTCAATTTTATGACTTTTTTCACAGTTTGACGACTTTAATACCCCTTATCTTTTCATCAATTCACCAAAATCAAAACATTTCAATAAAAACTCCCATAAACTTCAAAAAAATGAACAAAAAGCATTTAAGAATTTTTATTGTTCACTATGCCACCCAATACCATTGTCAACAAATTACCCATAAATTTGTTGTGACGTCAAAATTAGTTCCACAGTTATTACTATTAATTTCTATTTTATTCAAAACATAGATTCTATGCATTTATCTCAATTGATATTCCGTATTCGGCTTTATTATTCGCGTTTGTTTGTAAACATACTAATCAAAAGTGCATTGATTCCTAGAGCCAATGTTTGTTTGACAAGTGACGTGATTCAAAACGTGATTGGAATATTTCACACTTATTTTCAGCCAAACACAAAAACAATTCTACAAACTAGCAAGTGTTTATTCGTACATATTATTCACAATACTTTGAGCATTCGATGTGAATAAAATTCAATCGCGCGGGTTTTCCTATCCGCCATGAATGAATCAGAATACAATTGCGTCGTTGGTTTTCTATGAGAAGTAAGAAATTGTTATTTGTTTAGATGCGTGTTTATTTTACTACAGTGTTTTGATGAATTACTATGAATTATGAGGTCTGTGGGTTCATGTAAAGAGATAAACTCATCGAGGTTTTGCTGGAAGTACTTATAATTTGCGTACGAAATATTCTATGAAGTTGTAAAGTACTTTAGGTAATAAAACAAAAAATTCGTAATAACAAACAGTACTAACATCTTAAGATTAATTAATTCTAGTAGTAGTAAAATTTTAATTGCTTAAATTAATGATTGTGTTATGGGTCAAAGAATTTTGCAAGTAATGTGATTATTACATGCAGATTTAAACTTTTGTAATTATTAACATATTGTATCTTTTGTCGAGTAGATTAAATAAGATTTGCAATTAAATAAATACACTCGTAATAATTAAATAAATGCTTGAATACAATAAAATAATCAACACCTTAATAATTGCCATTACAAATGCTTATTCCTATGGATATTTTTTTTGCTTTTGGTTTGAAGACAACTTAATTATTTCAAGACTCATAAACCTTTAAAACTATCCAAGATAACTTCCTGTATTGCCATTTTCGGTATTGATTTGGCGATTCGGTTAATCAGTCTTAATTGAAAAGCACTTAAGTGCAACCTAAACGCTGAATTGTTAATGAAGTAAGAACAAAATCGCGATTTTATGCTCACGGATTCATACACTTTTTTCTCTTTCTCTTGTGAACAACGAGAAAAGAAAAAATTGTAATAAAAAAAATCGTCAAAGTATAAAAAATTTCAATTTTTAGCACTCTAAATCACATTTTGTGCCTTTTTATCGTACGATATTTAATTATTTTATATTACAAGCTTATAGAGAATTTTTCACTCTTTCATAATCAGCAATTCAATGGTTGCTATCTCATTCAGTTTAAGAGATATTAATGTTTGCAAATCGTCGAAAAAAAGTATCAAGCACCCCCCCTTTGGCAATTATTTCTTAAGAAAGAAAATTTTACCTCTCAGATTTCTATTTTAACTATCTTATCTTATAGACACAAGTCCGTAGATTAAGATGCTGCGATCAGATCTTAATTATCTCTTTTAGTTTACGAAATATTCGCGATTGAATAAAATGGCCAAAAATTGAAAAATGTCACTTTTTAGCACTTTTAGTCGCGTTTTTCGACCTTTTACTACTGGATATATAATTATTTTAAATTTTCATTTGATAGAGAATTTTCTAATCTTTCATAATCAGCAATTCGTTTGTTGCTATATCGTTTAGTTTAAGAGATATTAATTTTTGAAAATCGTCGAAAAAAAGTATCAAGCACCCCCCCTTTGGCAATTTTTTCTTAAGAATGAAAATTTCATCTCTCAGATTTCTGTTTTAACTATCTTTTCTTATAGGGACAAGTCCGTAGATTAAGATGCTGCGATCAGATCTTAATTATCTCTTTTAGTTTACGAAATATTCGCGATTGAATAAAATGGCCAAAAATTGAAAAATGTCACTTTTTAGCACTTTTAGTCGCGTTTTTCGACCTTTCACTACTGGATATATAATTATTTTATATTTTCATCTGATAGAGAATTTTCTAATCTTTAATAATCAGCAATTCGTTGGTTTCTATCACTTTTAGTTTAAGAGATATTAATTATCAAAAATCGTCGAAAAAAAGTATCAAGCACCCCCCCTTTGACAATTTTTTCTTAAGAATGAAAATTTTATCTCTCAGATTTGGTTTTTAACTATCCTATCTTATAGAGAATGGTCCGTAGATTAAGACGCTGCGATCAGATCCTAAATATCTCTTTTAGTTTACGAGATATTCGCGATAAAATAAAATGGCCAAAAATTGAAAAATGTCACTTTTTAGCACTTTTAGTCCCGCTTTTCGACCTTTTACTCTAGGAAATATAATTATTTTATATTTTTATCTGATAGAGAATTTTCTAATCTTTCATAATCAGCAATTCGTTGGTTTCTATCTCTTTTAGTTTAAGAGATATTAATTATCAAAAATCGTCGAAAAAAAGTATCAAGCATCCCCCCTTTGGCAATTTTTTCTTAAGAATGAAAATTTCATCTCCCACATTGCCGATTTACTTATCCTATCTGATAGAGAATAGTCCGTAGACTAAGACGCTGCAATCGGATCTTAATTATCTCTTTTAGTTTACGAGATATTCGCGATTGAATAAAGTCGTCAAAACTTGAACAATCTCAATTTTTCGCGCTTTTACCCTACGATATTTAATTATTTTAGATTCTTATCGAATAGATAAGTTTTCAATTTTTCTGAATCAGCTATTCGTTGGATTCTAGCGCTTTTGTATTGTAATTGTACTATTAAATAAATTAAATATTATTAATCTCTAAACTTTCTTTGTTTATACGTTTTTTTTTCAGTCATCTTTTCACCAATAACCATTTTGTCATTGTCAGCTTAAAACACGGATGTAACACGCAGTACATTCATAAAATTAACTTAAGCAAAAGTTTAGCGATGTAATAATGTTGTATTTACATAAAAACAAAAACAAACTCTTGACGCTTTTAAGCAGCTGGCTCTTAAGTTGAGCGT